GAGTTGTGCCTTAAAATTCTTGTAAACTCAACTAAATTTGACCATATCAAAGCAACAATAGTCCTTTCACAGCTGCCACATAATACAAATCATTTCTGTCATATTTTTGCACATTTTTTTATTTTGTTTCCAAACCTATAAATACTCCTTAAATTTGTACAAACGAGCTTCTTTAAATTTTCTCGATTGGAAAATGTGTGGACTTGTCACATCCAGCTTTGAGGGGGAAAAAATTCAGATTGATTGCCGCTACTGGGAGATGAATCAACGTCTCTGTTTACGTTTGTCATCGGACGGAATTGACCCTTTGCCTGTGTCGGGCCAAAAGAAATAAGACAGAGTTGCAGAGGAAGCTGTAAAAATGTGTCAGGCGCTGCAGACTACCGACAACAAAAAACAAAAAAATCTATCTTAGAAGAGCTTTTTGTTTCACCTTATGTTAGATAGCTGAACAAACCTTTCCCAGTGTTGTTCAGCAGCATTAAAGAGATTCTTGCTGACCTAAGCACACTGAAGCACAAATTAATATGTATTCACAGCACTAAAGATGCTTGTAGTTTCTAGAAGAGATACAGGACATAATAACTCCAGAATGATTTAGAAAGCAGTGATAACGTAGGTTTTCAGTAGGCTCAGTCCAGGCACCTGACAGTTGCAACGATCAGCAGAAGCAGAGGGCTGCACAGGATATCTGCATCAATCAACCCGACAGCGCAGGGATTTCAGCAGCCCTCTGCTCACCTTAATCCTCCATCCTCAGTCCTGAACATCTCATTCACAGATGGATCCATCAGGAGACTCCCTGTTTTTTTTTTTACTGCTACTATCACAAGCACAGGCTGCACGCCAATGTATCCCTGCCAGCTGCTGCTGCTCTGTCCCACAAATGCTTTTTGAAAATTTGTCAGGACATATGTGGAAAAAAAGAGGAATAGCTTGGAATCAGATCAAAAGATAGGGAGTAGAAATGTTCCTCAGTGTGTGGCTACAGAGCTGAGAACTAAAGAGGATGAAGAATATCTTACAGTAGTGCAAAGTAATAGATATGCAGTGGGATCTCCCGCTGAACCTGAGCAGCAAAACTCTTTAAATGGTAATACCAGAAAACAGAAAACAATGTATTGTGATTGAGGCTCACACTGAGGAGATTTTCACTGATCTTCAGACCTCTACACATGTTCTCCGAAACAAAAACAATCTAAAGGGAACATGTGCGTCTTGGAATTTGTTCATTTGGGCAAAGCACGTCTTTAATTCCTGTGTATGAAGTCCCACATAATGAAATCCCATCAGTATTGCTCTGAATATGTAATTCCCCCTCTCGTTGCAGTAGTCATTACTAACACACTGTTTGTTTTGAAACCGTTATACTGTATGGACACATAATAAGAGGAAATGAGCGTATACTTTTCTCACTTTCACCCTCTCCAGCACTGGAAATAAGCATAATTGTAGCAGCGGCTCTAAGCGGAGCTGACAGCTGTGATGAACCTCAATGAGCATAAAAACATACAAAGAGTGCACAAAGTCTCGTTTTACCTCCACAATCGTTTCCTCCCTGTAATCACAGCACTGGCTCTGCCCTTTAGCCCACTTAAACCCTCTGCACGGCCACTTTTCCAGGGAAAATGAAATCCCGTCAGGTGCTGTCAATCAACAGTTAACCATTTACATGCCAGGTGAGCCAGGGAAAAAAAAAGTCTGGGGATATACTAGATTTCCATGTTTCCATCAAATACCATAAATTGACAACAAAAGACTAACAATTGATATCGTCAACAAGCATAGTTGACTTCTAAAAAAAACCTGTATAATTCATTATTTTTCTATTGCAGCCCAACAACTTCAAAAACAAAGCACTTATCAAAACTCTTGCACTCATTAATATTTCCCTTCACTTTTGTTTATATGTGCATTATAGCTTACTCTGAGTCAGTCACATTAACATCATAGTGCCGCCCTAAAAACTACCAGGAGCTCAGAATGTGAATGTCCCTACACTATACACTATCAATCCTCCTTTTTGAGCTTTCCAGGGAATATACTGAGCATTTGTTTTCATAAGCCACTGAAAGATTAATGTGTGTTTGTAAAATGTATTAATATGAAATCACATTTAAGTGGATGATGATGGATCATAAAGCAAATTCATTATAACGACACAAGGCTTGGACAAATGCTAAAGTTGTAATAGTTTTGTAAAAAATCACACAAAATGTAAAGCGGCTCATGCTCCTTTTATACAAACGCGATCAAAAATAAAAGCTATGAATATTTTTATTTCTTGTCTTATTTCTCCTGATCGGTGCTTTTTTTGTAGCCTGTAGAAAAATCAGTCAACAGAAAGTAAAACAATGACTTTCATTTGGGTTATCTGGTAAATATTATAAGGTTATTTTTAAAGACACAATCTCCGATATTTTTAGGATTAATAGAATCAAAAAGTAACAAACCTTTAAGAATACTTAAAAGCCTCAGTCATTTTTTTTGCATTGCAGACAAAGTGCGAGAGGTTTTTGAGATCTTTATGTAATTAAAAACAATAATTTCCCCAAAAGTGGGTGCCTTGGACTTGTAATTTTTCAAGAGAGTTTTTAATATTTGGATTTTACTAGCATGGTTTTCAGGTTTCAAAATCTGGTTACATGAAAATCTGTTATATTATATGAGAGAAGAAATACAATATACACAACAGTGAATGGTGCTCACTGTTGGGCTTAATGGGAAACAGCATCATGTAACTGACATGAGGTCAGAGTCAGAGTGTCTACAAGTGAAGGTTTTGACATGAGAAAGTTTCAAAATAGGTTTCTACCCAGCATGCAGTTACAGGTCAGTCCTGTGTCTGCAGCAGAGAGCTGACAGCAGCAGATAATATTACACAGCTCCTACTGACAGCTCTGACCTCCACCCGGCTGATCGATACGCAGAGAGACGAGGGAGACGAGGGGGAACGAGAGGAGCAGGGAGGAGGAGGGAGGGAAACAGAATAAGGAGTGTGTGAGGTATACATGAGGAAGACGAAAAAAAGAAGTGAAGAAGTGATGAGAAAGAAAAGGAGACACTGAGGATGTGAGCCGAGGGTGTCTGGGTTTCAGACTCTGCGGACGTCTAGGCTTTCACTTATAAAGGAGGTAGCGAGTGTGTGGAGGGGGGGGAGTCTCACACTGCTGAGACTCAGGTTATCCCCCAGCTAGAGGGTCTCAGGGTTTAGACACTGAGGAGGGTATTAGCTTTCACACACTGCTGGGGTAACGGGGGAGTCTGCCAGATGTCAGCTCCTCACCCATAAATCCTGCTAAATGGGCAGCGGCTGGGTTTGAGGGGTGGGGTATGGAGGTGGGGGGTTAAAAGGACGTCACCTCTCTATCATCGTCTGAGTGTGCTGTTGGTGTTTGTTGAAGTTGAACTGGAGGCCTACAGCACGAATTGACTTGATCAGCTGATTGTTTCTCATCAGATGGAAGAGTGTTCCTAATGATGTTGATATCCTGTGAATCAATCAAACCAGTTTCTCTATAATCTTAAGCTCTTCTAAACTTTATCTCTATTAAGGTGCAGACTTTATGACCGTAGAGACTTAGGGGAAGGATGGAAAAAATGTCACAACAGATACAAAACGATGGAGCTCTTGATTCTAAAGAAGCAATTTAACTGATAGGCCTACGTATTTGTTCTGCTTCCTAAACACAATCAGTGTCTGAAATGTTAATTATAGGTCTGAATTGTTAAGTATTTGTTGTATGTATAGGTACAAAAACATCTTAAAGTGCTTTTGGAAGATTGTTCTTCCTATTTGAAGTTTGGAATCTGAGGAATTTTTATTTTATTTTGGTTTTGGCGACCCCTGTGGACAGTGGGCAGTACAGCTTGTATTTTTGCTTATGCTGATTTGTAAATACGTTATATATATATTTCCTCATCCTTCCTTTTAACTTTGTGAAGTTCTATTCACTATTCCCTCTTCTCAGGGGAAAGTGTAAATAAATACTCGTCTTTGTCTGGATCTGACAGAAGTAACAGTCATAAGTTCATAGAAATAATCCTCTCTCTTGTGTCTCATGTTCTTCTATAGGTCACATAAACAAACATTATTTATTTCAGTATGTTTAATAACCAGCAAGAAACTCCTCACTCCTCGGTTAAGATGTAAAAAGAGAATTTGACACTTTGTTTTTTTTTTTTGTGACTTCCAGTTTCAGTGGAACAAAGTTGGTCACTCATGTTTGTTCTTCAGCCGTCGTGATTAAAACCTTTCATATTCCAACTGACGTCAACACAATCTTCAAATTACACACATGGTTTTGGAAGGATTTTATGGTCGTCTTGTCATAAATCTAACTGTGTAAATACCCCTGTAAACTTCAAATTCTTATTTTAAAAAAGAAAGAGGAAAAAAAGCACTGTTTGGTTGGATGATTTTATATCTTACCCTGTTTTAAATCATGTCGTTGTAATGTAGAGATATGTGAGCATATCGTTTGTACCTCCCTACTCGGCCCTCTCTAAGTCACACAAAAACAATTACTTCTCTTTGCTAAAACGTTGAAAGAGTTTAAGAGAGCGCCTTCAACTTTCAAGCCACCTGCTCGAGTAAAACGAACCCCCAACAGAACAATAACACTAAGTCCTTCACCCCCAGAAGAGGACTTTAAAGACGCTCTGCTTTTAATGTCCCTCAGGGCCAATCAGGTTTATAGGCACAGTCACTGATCTCAGGTCAGCTTTAAACACCACATTGACCTCAAAGCACTTTCCCAAAAGTGGCTTCACTCCACAGATTGAACAGCTTTTTTTCTATTCTTTAAAGCTGGATAAAGCTCTCATTTAATGTGTGTATAGTATTTTTGTAGAAAACTGAAAAGTGTAGACATTTTATTGTAATTAGTGATTTTTTTATAATTTTGTTTGAGCTCTTCAGCTGAAAACGTTTCCGTGTCAGATTTTGTTTTTTTTAACTTTTTTTCCTGCTTGTTGATTAATAACTCGGGTCTGCTCACCATTTTTCTCTGGTTGCTGAGACAGAAAGTACAGATGTGCTTCGGCTGAGCTGATTGGTCGGATCCTCGGCTGGGGGAGGAGTTAACGTGGAAGAACGGCGGTGAGGGAGCGTGGCACGGCTGTCCGTCGTGGAGACCCTCGCCCAGGAGCAGCACGTTCCCCAGATGGCTGATGTAGCTGCTCGCCAAACGTAGCGTCTCAATCTTTGACAGCTTCCTGTTCACCAAAAGAGAAAATAATATTCATTATAAATACAAAGGTAACACTTCTATAGCGTATGAAAAAAATGAAGAGAAAGATTATGAATTAAATTTTCATACAGTACTTAAGTTTCAATGAAGAAAAACTAACTCTATTAAATATCTATTATAAGAAATATTCACTCATATTTAAAATGCCATCGCCCCTCCTGAAACATTCTGATTGTTTGTATGTCACCTGTTGTCTAGAGATACTTTCTTGTTCCCCAGGTAATGAGGACAAAACGTTTTGTTTTCTCTGTACCTGTCTGCGGGCTCGGTGGGGATGAGCGTCCTCAGTGCTGTGAATGCTGTGTTGACAGAATTGGTTCGATCCCTCTCCCGAGCATTTGCTGCCGTCCTCTGGCGACCCTCACCGGGGGGAGAAGAGCCCGGGGGTACGAGCCTCTCTATCATGGCCGCCATGTCTACCCCTGATGCGCACAGCTTCCTCTTCCTGTTCATCTTGATGTGAAAGGCAGATGGCGAGGAGGACAGGCGATAAGTGCCGGAGTTGGAGGGGTTGTTGGCACGTTCCTCTGAGCCCGATCCCTCGCTGCCGTTCTCGTCGTCATCTTCGGAGAGGAGGGCGATGTCGCCGTACAAGAAGCGGCCTGCAGGAGGCGCTGTGCGCAGCATCGCGAAGGTCATCTTTGCTATAGATGCTCTTATAGATCTTGATCTTCTTAAGAGATGCAACTGGGCTAGAAGAAGCTTAAAAGTTGTTATCAGAAGTGCTTTGCTTCTTTTTTTTTTCTGTGATGCTAACTAAAGTTTGTCAACTCTACTCCTGCGACTTTACACCACTTTGTTTTTCCAAAAGTTGATAGAGGCAGGTGAATCAGAAATTTAAAAAAAGGCTCAGTTTAACCTGTCATGAAGTCGATCCTTAGACAATAATCAAGAGCAACCCGTCCTCAGAGCTGCTGGGTCTCAGGTGGCTGCAGGTTCCACGTCTGTTTTTCTCTCCTGGTTTACTCAAAACAGTTCACATTCCAAAGGTCAGATCTTCTCTCAGTTAATCCTTTGAAAGAAAGACAAATCAAAGTGGCATGTTGCAGCAAAATGAATTGTCCTCTATCACTTCTCAAAATGTCTGTCCTTGTCCTTTGTGTCTATATTTGTCTTTGTTTTAATCCCAAAACCCCTCCGCTGTTGCAGAAGTTTGTCACTCTCTTTCTCTCCTTCAGCCTCTCTCTGCTTCTTTACGTTCTTCTCTCTCTCTCTCTCTCTGTCTTTCTGCCTCTTTGCTCCACGTGTGCCTGCTGTCTGAGTGTTTCCGTCTGCCTCAGGTCTTATAGCTGGTGGGAGGGCCGGAGGACTTGTCCGCTCCTCCCTCTGAGCACTGAGGGTCCCTCGGCTGCTGTCGAGGAGCAGGCCAGAGAGACCGGAGGCAAGAGGCGAACCATCACCAGCAGTTTGTTTTGGCTGCACACTGATGTGTTTAAAGGGAAACTCAACGTAATACAGAAGCTGCATCATCCTCTTGTGCTTGGTGGGTTTGGTGACACACATTGCTGATATGAATACAGTATACATATTGACAAATATCAAACATCAGACACTGAACTAAACTTGAATCTAGTTTTTGATTCTTTAAAGACCCGTTTCTTTCATCAAAAGTAGCTTAATCTACAATTTTCATATACTTTTCTGATCTTTTCGTTTTTAGTTGATGGTATAAATCAATCCTACAAAAATATGAGCACACATTATTATGATTATCTGAGTATCATTTTAGACAAATGTCCATACTTAAAGGCAGGGTTGGTCATTATCTAAAACTCGCATGATTATGAAAGAAGCATTCCCTCAGAGCTCCGTCTGCACCCACCTCCTCCCCTCTATGCTCCCTCAAAAGCCACGCCCCCTCACTTACATGTACAAGCACCATTGGTCCAGAAGCAGACTTCAGCTCATGCTTTGAGTGTGGACTTGTGCATGCATGGGTTAGAGAGCGAGCAGGGAGACATGGAGGCGTGTGATTGGTTCATCAGATTGGTACCTCGTGGCAGACATTGGTCAAAGGTCTGTCAGGACATAAAGACAATTTCAACAAAAATCTTAAAAGTGTATCTGGAGAAAATGACCAACCCTGCATTTAATCTAAAGATGCTGCCATCTAAACATTAATCACAGTAGTTATTTTTACAAATGGCACCAAATTAATGTCTAATATACTTACTCTGCCACAATTGCTCAAAACATTTCAGACAAATGTAATTTATTTGTTTAGCCAATTCATTTTTGCATAAAGATAAAAAACAAAATAAAGATAAAAGACTCTAATAACTGCTGGTTCTCCTCATGTGCAAGTTAAGTGAAACAAAAAAAACACCTTACTGTTACTGTAGTTTGATTTTCAATGTGAATAAAAAAGGGTGTGAGAGACTTTTCCCAGGTTACAGTACATTAAGCAGGAGAAGATCTGCTCTGGGTTGGCTTCGATCTTTTCAACTTGTCAGTCTCTACTTTCCACTAAATGTCCACAATGATGCTAAAATTATCTCAAGACTCTGTCATCCTTCACCCGCAGATCCAATTCTGCTCTTATGAATCAGTGTATGTTCTCTCTCAAAGGGGACTTGAAGACTGAGTAGTGCTCATGTTTTTTATTGTATTTTTTTTTTGCTCTTGACATCTTTTGCCTTCAATATTCTTCCCAGCATGAGGCTGTGAGTTTGGTTTGCAGGAGCGGATGTTTCCTTTAACCACATTCTTGACAGCAAGAAGCGAGGAAGCTTGAGTGCTGAAGCAAGAGTTTCCCTTTCTCCCTGTGTCCTCTTTCTTTCTCTTTGCCTCCCTGCTCTGGGCCATGTTTGTCTCTGGACAGCAGGCTGGGAGGCGTGCAGCCGCAGCGCTGGACAGTCCAGGCTCGTGGTCAAAGCCAGAAACTGGTTTTATTCAGCCACAGCTGAAGCCTTTTATCAGCACAAGCTGTGACGCTGCTGGGCCTGCAGGCAGTTTATCCTCAAGGGATTCTGATTTTTAGGGTGGAGTCTTTTTTGTGATGAAGGGGAGGCTCAGGGATGTGTAGGAGTTGCTTCTTTACTCACTTTCACTCCTTTGAATAATCTGTCTTCCTCTGAAAAAAAAAAGACAAATGAGAGCAGACAGCAAAGGGAGCAAATCCAGAGCAGGGATGAAGATAGAGCTAATGAAAGACAGAACAGAAAAAAGGTCTATCCAGCTTGTACATCTTAAACACATGTAATAAGGTGGACAAGTTTTTTCTGTACTACTAGTTTAGAAATCAGCTTTTGCCTCAGATTTAAAACTTTTACACAGCCTTCTTCAAACTCCGATCTGCTTTTCTTACTTAAAGTCTTTTGGATTTTATTATCCTTGATCGAGCAACTTAACTCATTTCCAAGGAACTGACTGACCCTTAAATTTTATTTCCTGCTTCGACTGTGCAGGGTTTAAAGGTTGACAGCCTATGTAAAACTCAACTATGAAGTCTGTAATCCTCGGTGGTACATTATTGAAAACTCTAAACCCGGCTGCCATTGCTGGTATGCTTCTTTTGTGTAGATTGGCAACCGAGAGGCGATGTTGAAAACTAATAGCGCAATGAATAATCTGTCAGTAACACAATGTTACAGTCAGCATTCATCACTGTTTTCCTCTGCTGTCCATATTTTTCTCTCCTTCCCTCCACTTTGTATCTATCTCTACCCTTCAATCATAGTCTGGTGTTTATTCTGTGGTAGTGACTGTTTGAGCTGAGGCCAGAGCTGGCTGCAGCCGTGGATTTCACTACATGCAGGAAGTGCTTGGGGCAGCGAGGATGGAGGAAGCAGACCAATGGGTTGAGCTATAGGTGGGAGATCAAACCACCGCCTTTACACTGTGATAGAAGAACAGCACACAAATCTGAGTTTTCCCATTTATGTACCAAGTATCTGATTTTGAAAGACAGATGAGAATAAAAGATGAGAAAAGCATCTGGGGTTGGCACTCCGAGATCTTGCCTGAAGGAAACATTAGCCCCGGCAACACTTGTCTGTTCCTGCTTGGACAGCCAAGTCTGCGTGGGTTAACATTTTGTGGTTTGTGTCCCGTTTTTTTTTGCTGCCATGCTAGACATGCAAATGCATAATACATTTCCTACAAGTCCTGGCATTTAACAACAACAATTGCAGAAAAAAAATTGGACCAAGACTGGAAACAAGAAAGCAAAATGGTTTGGGCTATAAACATTTTCCACCCCCTCTAGATCTCTTATGACACGTCCGGTCACTGGATATGAGATCTGTTTGAAAACAGACGCCTGGCTGTGAAATATCTGAGGCTCAGTGTGGATCAGCATTACATGGTATACTGTAGGTTAAAAGCTGCTTCCTTTGCCCTAAGCCCTCTGCAGCAACCTTTAGATCCAATTCCATCACCAGATCTTCACTTCCATTTGTGATCTTCAAAAGCCTGTATTACTTTGGTTAGAGTTATGTTGGTTTTTTAAAATAACCAAACCCTCAATGAAACAGGACTAAAGAAAATAATTGCCCAATTTAAACAAACTGAGAGAGTCAACTTTGCAAAGCAATCAAACAGTTCATAGCTCCCGTGAGGGGAAAAACATGACAACAAGAGGTAAACAATGTGGCTTGGGTCAGATTCCCTTGTGGATAATTTATTATAAAAGTCAGAGAACTCATGGCAAATCATTGCAGACCTTGAAATTATCCAAATTGAACAATACAAACTATCAGGGAATTCTTTTGATCATGTTTCGTTTAGGGTGCAGAGAGTTGAAAGACCCAATGAGAGCTAATATTTTATATTTTGAGGGACTTTTAGTTCAGATCTAAGGAAAGTCTATGATGATTTTAAACTGATTATATTTCTTAGAATATATATTTAGCTAAAAAGTGGATTAAATAATAGCGGATTAATGATGAGGATGATGATGGTCTAGATATTATTGATGATGATGATGGTTGTTGCAATGGTTTTTGTTTGATTAACGACGACTTATAAGATGGTTTCTATACTGATTAGAGCTGCCGTCAATGTTGTGCTTTGCCTCTGGTCACTTCCTGTCAGCACCTGTGTGTCCAATCAGACTCAAAGCTGATCGTTTGCTCTTACTGACATTGTTCCTTTTTTCTAGATCCTTGCTTGTGTTGTACTTATTCTCTGATGTACGTGGCTTTGGATCAAAGCATCTGCTAAGTGAATTGTAGAATTGTAAATAAAAAATGGTGACAGCTTTGAATTAAACACAAGGTACCTATGCCCTAATTAAATAATCTCTCAGTGAATCCATCTCGTGTCCCAAAAATGCCCCTATGCCCTACTAAGAAGTTACATAACCTACCCTATGGCCCTTATAGTTGCCACCACAACCAAAACAGCATTGCCACCTTCAACAGAGCCAGGCTGTGTTGATGAGAGCTCCACGTAGTGACAATGATGAGACTACCTACCCCAACACAGCTCAATTAACCGTGTAGACTGATGAACAGGGAGAGCCAGGAGCAAGTAGATCCACACCTGGATTTATGACTGTTTTCAGACTGAATATATGTGGATTTACGATTTGTCTTGATACTTGACTATATTTTCAAGCCAACCTCACTCTCTGTGGTCCCACATTACATGCATTAGCATGATCTTCCTCTCATTTGCATCTCCCAGGAGTGTGTGGCTGCTCTCACACAGTATCCATTTCTCTCTGAATCACTGCCCGCAGGCCAGAAAACATTGACTGGGTATAATGTTGGGTTTTCAAAATCACAAATGGCTTTATTTGCCAGAGGAATGTTATATAAAGGAAATAGCTCCATTACAGCACAGTAATGGTGACATTTACATCAAACTACATAAAGTGTTGACCTCAGTCTACACACACACTCTGGATTTCTGAATATTAAATAACCACCACTGGTTGTCTCTTACATGGTATTGGTTAAGTTTTTACATTTAATAAAGTTAAATATAGATTTATGAGTTAAGTTCAGACAGTGCAGATCAGAAGGATATAGCAACACAGACACAAGCAAGTCTTTGGGACAAGAATATGTACACGTTGATATAACTGCTTTTACATAGTTCACATTTGAACAAATTACAAAAGACAAGACAAACTCGGTGAAATCATAAAAGTTCCAAGTCTGCATCAAGTAAACTATATATGTTATGTTGTGGAAAAAATAGTAACTGGACCCAATCCTAGACAGAACAAAAACTGAAATATTTCTTAAACAAAAAAAACTAAAAAG